GTAAGTCTCTGTTCCTGTTCCGGAAGCTCGGCTGGTGGTTCCAGATCAACGAGAAAGTGGAATTTAGTAATTTTTATCCACATCTAGTGAGAAATTCCCGGTATTTGTTTCGGACGAAAAGTTCGTTATCCGCGTCGTGCGCGTAGAAGCCAGAACCTTCTGTTGTGTTTGTGTTTGTGAATACTGCTATGCAGCAGTAAATTGATTGAGTGTGTTAGCGTTGTGGTGCGATCATGAAGGAAGAAGTTTGCGGCATCTGTAAGCAAGATGAGCCTCCGAAGAAGAAGACTGGAGCGAAGAAGAAGAAAACCAGTGATGAAATTGGATGGATCGGCTGTGACTCCTGTAATAAGTGGTTCCATACTGTATGTGTGCGGATCAATCCGGCCCTCCTAGCCGTCGTAACAGAGCATATCTATCTATGCGAGAAGTGTTCGATTATCGGATCGCTGTTGCCCAAAGCCCAACAGACCAGTTCCACTGAAAAGTGTGAAGAGGCTCAGAAGAGAATCGACGAACTCAGCATGGAATTAAGGAAGCTGCAATCCGATCTGCAGCTGCTTCAATCTAATATGAAAAAACAGATAGACCGCGTCCAAAACAAGCTGCAAACGATCGACCAGTTGGAGAGCAGGAGAACATCTTGCAGCACTCTAGTTGGGAACATTGAGGAGAAGTTAGAATTAATCCAAACAGGTGCGAAACTCGCTAACACCTGTTCACAAAGTGTGAACTGCTGTCGGATAGCCATTAACAAGGTTCCTTTTCGCCCTGGCGAGAACGTTCGTTCCATTGTAGAGGATTTCCTCTGCTTCCTCGGCATTAAAGAACATATGTCGCACGTAACCGCTTGCTTCCGACTTCCAGTAAAGCCTTCCAAATGGACTGACCAAAGCCTCACCCCCACGGTGCTTGTCGCTTTCAATAGCAGAGAGATAAGATCGCTAGTTCTCAAACGCTACTTCGAAAAGCACAAAGACGCCAAGTTATGCAACCTTAAATCCGCAGCCCCACTAGAATATCGCTTCACAGTAAATGAAATGCTCTCCATTCAAGCTTTCCGCATCCGCAACCTGGCCCTGAGGCTGAAGCAAAAGAAAATAGTGCAGTCCATTTTCGTCCGAAACGATAAGATATCTGTGCGGCTGGCCGGACAGAAGCGTTATGTTCCAATAATGGACTGCAACGAATTGCTCAAGCTAACTGGGACTGATGCCAGCATAGATGAGTCCTCAGTGTTTTTCGACGCCTTGTCTGCAGACGTATCATCCCAACAATGACCAACCACCACACGCTAACCTTTCTCAAAATACGAATATCTCCAACAAATATGCCGAACAATAACATCTCTAATCTACGACTTGGACATCTAAACGTACGAGGACTTGAAAGCCACATCGACGAGCTCAAACTACTGCTTCACAGGACGGAATACCACTTCTTCGCAGTCACGGAAACGAAACTAAAATCCTCTGCACCTGTTGGACCAGTCCGTGTACCAGCTTACAACTTCGTGAAACATTCATTACCATCCAACAGAGGCCGTGGAAGCAAATCCTGTGGAGGAATCGGGATTTACGTGTTGAAAGATCTGACGGCAACCCCAGTACTCAAATCTACATACGATCCAGACGTGTTTCTAGCGCAAAGGGTCGAGTATCTCGTCGTTAAGGTAAAAATCAACGATCTCAACATTAGAATCGTCACCATCTACAATCCCTCCGTTTCGAACCCGCATTTTGCACGAGAGTACGAGAAGCTCCTTTTCGATGTCCAGGATTTCACCTTCGACCGAATCTTCGTTGCCGGAGACTTTAACATCAACGTCACTGCTCAACAGTCATCAGGAAATCTGAGATCGCTCATCCGTATTCACGATGCCTTCCACCTTACCATCCTACCAACACCACCCACAAGAATAGCAGAAAGAAGTTCAACGACAATCGATCTACTCATCACAGACAGTCCTGAATCTATACGTACAGCTAAGACAAAATCCTCGAGCTTCTCAGATCATGAGATCATCTTCTTGATCTCCGACGTTAAAGTTAGAAAAGCAGCACCTCAGCGTATTATGGTCAGAAATTTCCGTAATGTTGATGTTGTTGCACTTCAGGCAGACTTTCAAACAATGGACTTCAGAGAGGCACTCAACACCGACGACGTTAACACTAAAGCACAGACAATAACAACCAAACTGCAAAACCTAATGGACAGACATGCTCCTGAACGTGAAATTGTTGTAAAAGATGCACGTGCGCCATGGATTACAACAGAAATTGAAAGGGCGATTGCCGTGAGAGACCTAGCACACACACTCTACACGCGAAATCCCAACAGGAGAAGGAACGACAATCAGTGGAACGACTTCGTACGAAAACGCAGTAAGGCAGCATCGTTGATCTCAGCAGCAAAGAAGCGATACGGGGAAACGCATTTTGCACACAACCTCCCTGCAAAAAAGCTTTGGAGCAACCTCCGGCGTGAGGGTGTGCATAACAACGCCAAGAAGAACGTTGCCGCTGAACATGCTGATCCTGATGAGATGAACCGTTTCTTCTGCGAGGGACATCGACTGCTTGTGACTGACAATAGAGCAGAAGTTGAACCGGCGCACCGTACCGCTACGGACCGTGGTGGGATGCAGTTCGAATTCCGAAGGACTACAGCCAACGAAGTGTCACGCAAGATTATGGAAGTTCAAACCAATGCTGCAGGTTCAGATGGAATCCCTATCTCATTCGTTAAGATGTTGGTCCCGTTTGTACTGCTTGTAATGGTTCACCTGTACAATGCGGTGATTGATGCCAGATCGTTCCCTGCCGTCTGGAAAAAAGTTCTCATCACGCCCATACCAAAGGTAACAAATCCGACTGAACCTAAACACTTTCGGCCAATTAGTGTTCTCCCTGCCATCTCCAAGATTCTCGAGAAGATCCTGCTCGACCAAATTGTTGGGCACGTGGAAGCGGACGATCGCAGGTTGCTTGCATCGAACCAACCAGGATACAGAAAGGGCCATAGCACAACAACAGCTTTGGCAAAAGTGACGCACGATATTTATGACCATTTCGACAACGAGCAGTGTACAGTTATGGTCCTGGTTGACTTTTCGTTGGCCTTCAACTGTGTTGATCATCGCAAATTACAGAGAAAACTTCGAGAGGAATTTTCTTTCACCGACAATGCATGCGACCTTATCTCTTCTTTCCTCGATCATCGCACCCAGGCGGTACGGATAGGAAATGTGATGTCCTCCCAGAGATCGGTGATAGATGGTACACCCCAGGGCTCGTGCTTGAGCGCTTTGCTATTTAGCCTCTACATCAATAGCCTTCCCCGTGGACAAAGATGCAGTTATCAGCTCTACGCTGATGACCTACAGATCTACATTTCTGGTGCCATCCAAAACGTAGACCAACTCGTCGAAGCCATAAACAACGATCTGGAAAGCATAGAGCGATGGGCCAGGCAGAACTCTCTTTTCCCCAACCCGAAGAAGACGCAAGCAATTATTTTTTGCAAAGAAGGAGCGGTAGAACCAACCGCGGAGAACTTGCCCCGTAACGTGGGTAGATCACCTTTTCGTGGTACGTTACGGGATGTAAGATCTACCACCGATTCCTAGTCCTGACTTCTTCAAACTAGGGGAACAGGATTTTTCAGTAATCAAAGGAACACATCTTAGTCCTTGTTACTTTTTATGCCTTGTTGATAGTGATAAGTCCTCGGGTTGCCTGGACCGAGGATGATCTTGAAACAAGGAAAAAATGAGTTAGTTAGTCTTCACCTATGTGATTCCTAATCTTCTAATCATTGTTCCCTAGTTTGAAGTGGTTAAGACTAGGGTTCTGATGCATGGTCATTATCGGTGTCAAAGTTTGTTTTTGTTGTTAAGGAATCCAATTTTGACTGACAAAGGGGCGCGCCTTTGGAGGGTGTTCCAACTCCGAAGGGTATAAATAGCGGAACCTTTCAGTTAGAATCGATTCCTTGCGATGAAGGCAAGAATGACAACTGTATCAAAACCGAATACTTCATCATTTCTCAATAGTGATGGAGTAATACAACATGCACTAAACTAAGGACACGGGATATACTACAATAGATCAAATTACTGGTCGCAGTGGTGTTATGTCCCGAACAGATAAAAAAAAAAAAACGCGGAGAACACATTATTTTGTCTGACAACGTAGTGAATCTTGGTCTAAGGATGGATCGCAACCTGAAGTGGAATGGACATGTGAACGACATAACGGCCAAAGTTTTTGGAACGTTGCGGACACTCCGAAGATTCGCTCCAGTTTTGTCAGTTCAAACCCGAATAAAGCTGGTGCAAGCAGTGGTCGTGCCGTTTTTCACCTACTGTGACGTCACTTACTATCCTGGACTGTCATCAGCGCTCCGTGATCAACTAAACCGTTGTTTCAAGGCAGCAGTTCGCTTTGTCTATGGCCTCAGACGCAGAGAATCCACTGCTGCTGTAAGGAACTCTATTTTGGGACACGACCTGGACACAAATTACCGGAATAGAATCAGCTGTTTTATTCGCCAAGGGTACGCAGGAACTTTCCCACCTTATCTGCAGCAACACCTGAGAAGAGGACAGCTTGAGCGGGCCCGCTGCTTTGCGATTCCCCATCACACCACATCGAAGAAGAAGAGTGTGATGATCGCAGGTGCAATCATCTGGAACCAGCTCCCTCTAGCAACACGACAACATACAACGATCAGCGCATTCAAGACAGCGCTCTCAACAGGATCTCAAACCTAGTTTAAGAATTACATACCTACTAAGAAAGCTACTTCCACTAATGACTTATTGTTCTCCTTTAGTTAAAAATCAAATGTTGTGTTTTCCTTGACCTGAGCAATGGTGTAACCGACAGGCTAACGTTACGATAATAAATTACAATTACAATCATTTAGGACCGGTATCAATTTAATCTTAGTTTAAATTTGTACTCTTCAAAGAACATATACAAACAATAAAAACTTACATGTGAATCAATTCCTCTGCTGTATCCGTAAAGTCCACTTCCTTCAAATCGTAAATTTGATTCTGGCATTGTACCTACAAACGTTTTAAGTGTTAAAAATTGATGCTACATCTATGCTTCTGTTTACCAACTTTGAATCCATCCAGCCCTTCTGTACATACACATTTCGATGGGCAGTTGAACTGGCTAAATGCAAATTGTATCAGCCAAATAAAAGCAACAGTCCAGCCAAACATGTTGATATTAAATTTTGCTATTTAAAAACTGAGAAATTTTAATTATGGACAATAAATGTAAGAAAATAACAAGCGTCCTTTTTTTCATTTTTGACATTTTCTTTGTTTTCCACTGTCACTCTTGTACTACCCATAATCGCATATAAGTCTTATAGACCTTCTTGACGTTTAATCGTCTTTCTCTATCTAGCACACATGGATGAACGGTTTGTTTTCCCACTAATCTGTTTCCCTCTTGCTCGCACTCGTTCGATTTAAATGGTACAGTAGTGTGCGCCAATTAAACGTCAAAAAGCTCTACACAGAAAAACAAAACTACCCACCGCTTGAGTTTTTTGAACTCAAATTTGAGTTATTTGACCTCAGCCCGTTTCATTTTCTCACGCTATTGTTGTCAAAAATAGAACGAAAGATTCGACTCAACCGTCTAGTTCCGTACGAGAAGCCAAAATTGAGTAATATGCTATATACCCAAATTTGAGTTATTTGAACTTAATTTTGGGTAGAAAAAATTGAAAATAACTTAGCGATGGGTAATTTTTTTTGCCGTGCTTAAATGCAACTACTTTGAGCCGGTTTACCCAAATTTGGCTTATACACGCTAACTTGAAAGTACCCATTAATGGGTAAAAAAGACCCATTTCTAAGAAAAGTGGCTTAACTCATTAAATGAGTAAACCCAATATTACTCATTAATGAGTATTTGATACATACTTCAAAAAATGGGTACTTTTTAGCTTTCATGTTCTTACTGGAGATGAATAAAAAATACCCATTTTATCAACAAAATTATTTTATGGGCTTCCTGCCGTAAATAATTTAACCAAATATTAAAAGTAGTCAAAAGAAAAAAAAATAATAATCTTTTATATTGCTCTAAAATATAATAAAATATGTGTTACAGATTGTAACCTGCCACCCTTTAAACGAGAAAAGGTTGTTCCGGCCTCGGTTCCGGCTGTTCCGATTTCAACCTTCGTCACCGTCTTCCATTGCCAAACCATCCTGATATTCGATTAAATTCCACTGGTTCCACGGCTACCCAGTAAAATTAGCACTCATTCGCCAGTCTCCACTAATCGAAGCTAAAGGCAATCTCCTTTACTTTCACTTCGCTAACCTGAAACGGAACTGAGAACGGAACACATCACACTTCTAGTTTGATTTCTAGCTCTTACCTCGTGAAAATCACCTCGGTTTGCTTGGTGAGACTTCTATCCGGCGCACTATTTTCACCCGAATTAATACCGGCCAGATGGAATCTGCTAGCACAATCAAACTACCGTTCGAGTTTCCTTCGCGTATCCTCTTGAGCCGTGACTTTTTTCTACATGTTTCCAAAATGCAAAATAACAATAATGTGTTTACTCATTTTTATTGCATGAAGTCATTTTTTAAAGTGAATAAAAAGTAACCATTTTTCATTTTTGGAAAATACCCATTTTTTGACAACATAGTATGGATTCCAAAAAAGAGTTAAAGATACTCATTAAATGGGTACTTTCAAGTTAGCGTGTATCGTACGCAACATGGGAGATGAGTGAAAAGAACTTAATTTTGGGTTGTTTTGAATTTCTGTGTACACAGAGAAAAAAAAGTACCCTAAATTTAAGTTCTTTTTACTTAATTTTGGGTAATTTAGAATTTTGCATCCCACTCTCACTTTTTGTTGTTGTCAAAAACGGAACGGGAGATTCGATTTTCTCGTGAATATCGTTCAATAAGCTATTAGTGAGTATATGAGATATTCTCTAATTTGAGTAAATTGAACTTAATTTTGGGTAGAAAATACTCATGAGTAAGTAATTATTTTGGCCGTAGTCAAATGTAAACTACTATAAGCGGTTTACTCAAAATTAGCTTATTGAACGGAACATGGGAGCCCGAAAAAAAATAACAACAAAAATACATTAAAAAACAATGTAACAATAAGACGAAAATTATTGTCTTAACAATGATTTATATTGTTACGTCTACAATAAATTTACCTTGATTTATGTTGTACAAAACAATAAATTTCATGGTAAATGGAAAATTTACAATAAAAAAGGGGGGTTGTTAAGTATCTTAACAATGAAATTTTCGTGATTTTCCCATATAATTTTTTTTCAATAACATTATATATTATTGTTATTTTACTGTTGGTTGGTGAATTTATTGATTAAAAAAAAATAACAGTGTACTTTAGAGTGTATGTGTTGGCTTGACAGATCTACTTTATCGACTTTAAAAATAAATCGAAAAAATAAAACATTGCCGCGGGAAGGGAAGGGGGGGGGGGGGGTATGTCTGTTACGGGTGGTCCTTTTTTTTACTGGTTATGGATCGAGATTCGATCCGGAACTTGTGAGAAATGCAGGCCAACTCCCCTGCGCTCGATATCTCTAGGTCACGTCTCCTTGGTGGTTGATCTTCGTTGATAAGTTAATGCATTCGACTGGAGAGAATCGCCCATGAAATATGCTTCCACCTGAGAGTTCCTTCCTGACATCTTCAAGTGGTGGAATTTTTTATTATTATTGTATGATTATTGACTGCACGGAAAAGGTCTCCATTAAGCTTTAGAGAGGGTCTAGGATAAGATATGAGCAGACGCGGACTGCCTGGTTTTGAGCCAAACGAACTGTCAAAGCCAGAGCCATACGTGCAGCGCCTACCTTAATTACATTGGCAGTGTTGCTGACCCTCGCATAGTATGCATGCTTCAATCAGATTTATTTTTATTGTTCGTGAAGTAACCCACAATGAAAATACACCAATATTTAATGTAACAACAATTTTTATTGTAATAGAATTGTTCATTATTGTTCATGATCGAATCATGTTAACAATAAAATAAATGAAAAATACGATAAAAATCATTGTAACAACATTTTATTATGTAAATTCATTGTACAGCTAGGTAGCAGTTTTGCCGTTTTCGGAAGAGTACAACATTATAACAATCATTTTTATTGTCGACAATAAATATTAATGTTAGAGCATTGTTTCCACTGAAAATTTCACTGTAATTTTTTTTTTCGGGAGATGAGTGAAAAGAACTTAATTTTGGGTAATTTTTTGGTTCCGTGTATGCACGGTTAGAAAAAAGTACCCAAAATTAAGTTCTTTTCACTCATCTCGGCACATTTGTACATTTCACTAACACCAATAAGCCCTTTGGCCCAGACCTTGTATAAACGTCATTGGACGTATATAATCTCAACATTTAGCAGACTATAGCTGTCAAATTTTCTTTTGGGAAAAATTTAAAAAATTTCCCAAAAGAAAATTTGACAGCTATAGTCTGCTAAATGTTGAGATTATACACTGTAACTGGAAAGTACCCATTAATGGGTGAAAAAGTGCCCATTTCGAAGTAAAGTAGATAAACTCATTTAATGGGTAAAACGTCTTTACCCATTAATGGGTAAAGACCTTGTACGTCAAATCATGGGGTACTTTTTACCCATTTTTAAATAATAATTGGCTTTATAAAATGGGTACAAAGTACCCAATTTTGAAATCCTTAAACCAGGATTTTTCTTTTAGAATTTGTATGATTTATGGATCATTGAAAGAGCCACAATGAATAGTTAAGAATACAAAACGTTATTTATATTTTTATCTTTATTTCACTATTTTCCATCCAGCGGTCTTTCCATCGTTCGTGCAAGAAATGTTGCTCCCAAAGCTCTCCTGGGATCTCCTTGCTGATTCGGCTAGTTCTGTCCCTGCAAGTTTCAGATTGATTTTTAGATGTGGGCAGAAAGAAATAAAATAAGAAATACCTACTTTTCAAACGAGCAATTTCCATTCGACATCGTTAAGACATTTTGCGACTGAAGCGAGGACTGGAAGATGTTATCTAAGTTGCTTTTCACCCATTAATGAGTAAAAAAGTACTCATTATTCTCGCCCGAAGCGCTCTGAGAAATGGGTAAAAGAGTACCCATTATTTGAAATTGAACTTCAACCATTATTTGACAGCCTCATATAGTCATCAAAAATGGGTCCTTTTTACCCATTAATGGGTACATGGCAGTTGCAGTGTATGTTTTAATTATCTACACTCTAACTTGAAAGTACCCATTAATGGTTGAAAAAGACCCATTTTGAAGAAAAGTGGCTTAACTCATTAAATGAGTAAATTTTTTACCCATTAATGAGTATCTGTTACCCATTTATGAGTAATTGTTAATCATTAATGGGTAACAGATACTCATTAATGGGTAGAATTGTTTAATCATTAATGAGTTAAGCCACTTTTCTTCAAAATGGGTCTTTTTTAAACTCATTAATGAGTACTTTCAAGTTAGAGTGTACACGGTGTTTCGTGAAAACCCATTTATGGGTAAAAAAATACCCATTTTCAAACCATGTATGCAGCTGTCAAAAAATGGGGGAATTTGGAAATCATAAAATGGGTGAAAAAATACCCATTTGAAGAATCAGTTCACGATTGCATAATGGGTATATTTTTTACCCACTAATGGGTGAAAAAACACTTGGAAATTTTATCGTTTCATTCCGTCACCGACCATTGGGAATGCAAACAGTTACTGTCCGCTTTTTTTTTTTTTAGCAAAAATGGACGATCTCCGGAAAAGGTTAGATACCGAATCATTGGAGAGACTTAAACGCAGTACAGACTGGAGAGTTATAACATGTTATAACGGTTGTCAAATAATTGCAACACAGAAACCACCATCAAGATAGCGCTATAACATGTTATAACCAACAATCAATACGAAACTAACGATTTTAAATTGGCTCACCACTTTAGTAGCCTATTGGTCCCAAGCAAACGATTAACGTACCCTATTCTAGTTGAAATTCTATTACTACACTATGTTTGTTTTAATTCGCTATGAAAGTTTGACAGATAACATCAGGGGTGTGTGGATTCATGCAGAACATGCAGGGGTGAGTGAAATAGCTTGGGACCGTTGTTCTGGTACTGAGTGAGCCAAAAATAATAATGATTTTCTTCGGGACCCAGTGGTCTTAGAGTTACCTCTATGTTATAACTCTGTAGCCTGAACGTACTATCAACAATCAATACGAAACTAACGATTTTAAATTGGCTCACCACT